TATATATATAATGAGTTAAACCATGTAGAGTGATAATGCTCCTCCGAAGAACCATAGATGGTTTAACAAAAACCCCAATCCCAGGATGGGAACTCTCCCTTGGAGTTGTTGGTCAGGGGTATCCAAGAGACTCCCAAAACAATAAAAAAGCCAGGTGTGGTGGCACACACCTTTAATCCCAGCACTCAGGAGGCAAAGACAAATTGAGTTCTGTGAGACTAAGGACAATCTCGTCTACTTAGTAGTTTCCAAGCCAGTTATGGCTACAGAGAGAAAATAAGAATTATGAAAAAAAAAAAAAAGAACTAATCAACCAACCAAACAAACAAATCATAGGCTATTTGCTTGGTTGCCTCCCAGAACTTGAAAGTAAGATCCTATTGCTGAAGTCACGGCATACATTAGACAGAGAACTTGGAATAATTGAGCCGGAACTGACCTGAAATCCTCCCCCTTGAGGACTACTTCTCATAACTATCAGAAGATGTTATACAAACTGCCAAGAGATAAAACCAATCATTGGTCCTAACCAACTGTAAAGTATTTGAACCACAACAATGCCCAGTCCAGAAAACTATGTCTACTGGTGCAGTAGTGACACTCTTATCTAGATGATAACCAACAGCTGTCTAATTAGACTTAAGGCCTGCTCATTAGGAGGGAAATCATGGCTGCTGCTATAAACCTAACCAATTACCTGTGGTTGGAGAGATCACTGACCCTAGAGGAGAACCTACTACTGCCGTTTTCCTAAACCAATATAATTTCTAACTGTATTCTAAATGCTTATACTCACAGATAATTGTAACTGTCACTCCTCATTAAGGAAGCTTCTTCTTGTGGCAGATAGAAACTATTAATGATATCCATAACTACTCAAAATGCATAGAATAAGTGACCCTGGTTTGTTTAGCCTCAACTGGTACATCTACAATGCAACTCTTATACCTAAGGTTCAAAGGACAACACAAAAGAGGGGTGGAATGATTATAAGAGCCAGAGGAGCAGGATGCCTGCTACAAGACAGTGTCCTCTAGACAAGACAGGAAAGCTGCACCCAAGAGATTTCAACCATATATTTGTCTAAATAAGATTTGCATAATGACAATACCAGTTGGCATTCCAATGGAGGGGGGAAAATTTGCAAGGCAAGGCCCCACCACTAGATGATGAGTTCCAAGCAATCAATGGCTGCTGGGGGAGGGAGAATGAAAGAGGACTTATTTGCAGCTCTGGTTAAGGCATTAGGCTGGCTTATTGAAAAAGGTCTAGCAAGTCAGGGTACAACTTAAGTTAATTCTCACTTCCTAGATTTCCATATGTTCTACATTTAAGTAAAGGACATTTAATAAACTTATGAATCAACTGAGTCAGTTATAAAATGTATGTATACCTGGAAATAACTAGTGTTAAATGTCATCCTCAGCAATGGTATTCATTTAGTGGGATAAAAATTTTAGCAACTATTTAAATGACTGCCTAATATATCTTTAAAAACATACTCTAGTTTCATTGTGAGAAAAGACATGCAGATTTTCAGACACTTGGTGGTGGTTCATGGGATTTTACAGTATCTGCTCACAAAGAAATGACTTCAAAGAAAACCAGACATTCTGCTCACCTTGGGGTGCTATCAGAGTTCTTCCATTCTCTTGACACCAACCAATGGGCTGGACATATGGACTATTAACATCACACCTACAAAAACAGGATTCTAGTTTAAACCCCCACATTACTTAAAGCCAAGGAAAGAATCAGTTATGGTTTGAATGTGAAATGCCCCCTAAACATTCGTTACTTGGTTCAAAGCTGCCACTTGGTGGCAGCATTATTTTGAAAGGCTGTAGAACCTTTTAAATATAATGCATAGCTGGCAGGGCCACAGATGAGCTAACCCTTTATTCAGTGCGAGCACTTAGCTTCCTGACTGCCCTTGTGACATAATCAGCCAGCCCAGCTCCTACTGCTGCAGCCACACCATGCCTTCCCTACCATAATGGACCACACCCTCTCAAAGAGTAGGCCAAGATAATATGCCCCCCCATGGTGCTTTTATTTGGGTTTTTTATCATAGAGTCAAATGTAAGTGATACAGAATCCAAGATTAATGACCATTCTGGATATAAAGAGACCCCATAGAGAATAACACTTCAGTTATCAAAAATTAGAAATAATTATGGTACTGCACTTTAAGCAGAGTGACAAAAATTGTCTTGTATAAATTTCTTGAGGTTTGAAAGTATGAAATAAAGTGGGAAGGGATTAACAAGGACCTGATTTGCCAGTGATATTCCCAGAATAAATATTTTAATAAATCTCTTCTACCAGTTCTTACAAGTAACAAGGAAAACTATTACTAGGTCAGTCCAAATGTGAACAGGACAGCCAAATCCAACTCCAGATGACTACTTTTTTTCTCTTCTCTACTTTTCAAAGGAACCAGAATATTCTAAGATACACATAACAATTACTCTATGCTTTGCTTCTTAGTTCAAAGGAGAAAACCAGAACCCCATCATGTGTGCGCAGAGCAACAGCTTTGGGCAGGGACTTATTAACTGTTCAGACAAGTATGAGGAAATGTTACAAAATTATTTTGGCCACGACCTCTTCTGCATTTCAGATTTTTAACCAGTAAGTGCATTTAACTTGTGCAAAGTTAGTTTAATGGCTTCATAGAATACATTTTCTCTGCTCTCCATGGGCTTTCAAATAATTCACTCCCATTCTCTCTGGATCTTTTGTATGACAGACTGAATTCAACATTTTTTGAGACCAAAAAAATAAAAAGGTAACCTCATAACTTCCTAACTTCTGCTTTTTAAATATGTTTCTGTCATAAACTAGATGAAATACAGGAACAAGCCCTGAGTTGTTCCCATTATTTCAGGAGAGATTTCATTAGGTGACTTCTTATAGAGTGGGAGAAAAGTTTCTTGGCTTCTTTAATTCAACAATTCATATGGAAGAGAAGGCAGTGAAAACTCAATTACCAAATTACTGATGTGTGTTACTGTAAGAACAGTGACAGAATGGGGAATAATAAACCCTTAGTATTAAGCAAAAATGCATGCAAAAAAAATGCACATTGGTGTCTCACCAGTAATCATAACTATCATCCCAATTGTCAAAATGCACTCGCAAGCGATCTTCCACAATATCTGCTATGGTTGCCACACACACTAAGGAGGGGTTCTTTCTGTCCACAGCCTCCAGCTTCATCCCAACCTGAAACTCCTTTGGCACTAGTCCATTCTAACACAGCACCAGAAGGGGAAGAGCACAGAAACAAACGGGTCATTCAAGAGGACTGAGCCACTGTCACATCTGTGACAATTAAGCATCAACAAAGTCTACTGGGTATCACCACTTACTTACCTAACTCTAGAAGGAATCAGGCAAAGGCCAGCCCTGTTTATAACAGGGACCAGGGAAGCAAGCTTTCCACCGGCTTTTCTCCTCAGTTAACACAGGGGGGTTTTCTACCCCTTATTTTTGTGTTCCTCTCTTCAGTTCTTGGAGTAATTTGCATTCATTTTAAAATACAATGTTTACTGAATACAGTCCTAACAAGTTACATTATATTCTCCTCACAGGCTAATGAACAGTTTCCAAATATTACTATTTGAAAAGTGAGATATGCTCTTTAGCACAAAAATATTGTTTGATTACGTGATTCAAAAATAGTGCTTTCTCAGTATTTAAGGAATGCATATATTAACTCATGAATAAAATTACAGTTAGAAATGCAAATGATTTAGTACCTGTGCATCATTAGCATAAAATATTATAGATTGTGGTTAACAATATATAAACTGTACTCTTTGTATGCAATAGTTATAATTAGCAGGCCTTGGGATTGTAGGCTACATACAATATCTGGGACAAGAAAGGCGTTTTGTTTCTCTATTTCTTTAGTATCCATACTGAAAAGTGATATTTATTTTCTTTTAGTAGATTCTATGTTTTACAATGTATTTTTTTTATCAATTCTAGAATTTCACACAATGTATTTTGATCACATTCAGACCCCTCCTCCATCTAAGTCCCTTCCCATGACCTTCTCACCCAAGCGCATGTCCTCAATTACTGTCCTTTTCTTTTAAATTTTTTTTTATTATTCCAAAGAGAGGCAATTTTTAACACATTTTCCCAGAAATAGCTTGAAGCAGATTCCATAAAAAATATATACAATGCATTTCTAATCTCTATATACATGACTATCACTGGTCATAGTAAAGTATTCCTTGAGAAATGTTTATAATTCTATGAGAATGTAAATAGTTTCACAGTAATTGTTTTTCAGTTAGAATATTCTAACTTAATTGCAGTGCAGTCTCTTTAATTTCTTGTTCATTAATTTTTAACTAACTTCATAAAAGAATAAGAATTAAAAAAAATCCAAAAAAAATATATATACAATGATAGGAATAAGAAATCAAAGACCAAAGGATTTACCAACATGGGCCAACTTTGGTGGAATAATGAAGGTTTCCATTAGCTCTGTCATTTATTTTTAAATTTTTGTTTTATAAAGGCCTACTGATTCCAATTGATACCTCCCAATTTAAAACAGTATCAGTTAAGTCCATTTCATTGACACACAAATCTATTAGAGACATATAATGAATATCTAACATTAATATCAAGATCAGATGTACCAGGCACAGGGCTTACAAGTACAGAGCCCAGTCCTGACACCAGGCTTCTGCCTTGCCTCACTCCCTCCCAAAGTGCCAACCTCACCACTGAGCTCAGAGAATTACTAAGAACAGTCAGTGTTAAGATTTAATCTCATTCTCTACTGAAAGTTCATTGGGATAGAGAAGGCTTGAGCTGTTCTACCCAAATGCTCATACAGCACCCCCATGTCTACAGAAAATGCTTCCACCATTTTCATCGCTCTGAAATATATCTATGTTATATATGGAGCACAGTCTGTCTATAATATCTATTAGTTTCAAAATACAAAATTAATCTTAAAAAACTAACTCATTGCAAGCAAAAGGCAAATATATTTATAAATGGTATTTTAAATAAATTTTAGCAGACTTTAAATGTAAAGTTTTCAGTTTTATATGTGTATACATTTAATTGTACTATTAGAAGAGAAAAAAAAATATATGCCAATGGAAACTAAATTAGCCAGAAAAGGTATAAGCAGTTCAGAAATCCCAGAATTTCTTAGAATTAAAATATAAGAGAATATAAATCAAATTTTAAGCTCAGAGGAAAATTAATTTATACTGAGGAAGAAAATACTTACACAACTTCTATTTCTAAATAGTTTCTTAGGAGCATTTTGTAATTTGCAGGCCTTCAAGTAATCCATCCAAACAAATTTATCTTTTCTATAACCTAAAAAAGTACACGTTACTCAAAACACCCACAAGAATTATCACATTCATTTAAAATGTATTATTATTCCTGTTGTTTATTCTTCCACTATATAGCCAAAGTCCTTAGCTCACCACAAACGAATTATATCAAAATCTCCAAATTGTTTCAATGTTAAGTGTCTTAAGTTCAAAACTGTTGAGTGTACTTTTCCATAATATACTCTGGTCCCTATAAATTATCAACATCCACTGATAGCTTGATGGAAGTCTCATCACTCATTAAGGTGTTCCATAAGAGCAAAAGGATGAGACAGGAGTCCCATTGTCTCCACTCTCCAGGAAGCCATGCCCACAAAGAACATGAGAGGTCCTGGTTGTGTTACATAATTCAGGTGTCCAGATATTTGTAGGAAATGATAGGAACCCCTTCAAAATCCAAAGTTCACCCTCTGTTAGATCCCTGAAACTGCCAATATTCATGGATCATTTAGCAGGTCCAACTTTCTATTTATCTTAATAAACTTCCCATTAAAATGACCTTATCTTTCCACTAAAAATATAAAGTGGCTCACACAGTAGTGGCCTAAATTTCAGAAGATTGGCATTTTCTGAGAGACTCCACACTCATGACACAAGTCAAATTCTTTGTACAGAGTTCAAGAGAGTGATTACATGTTCAGACTTTATCTCCCTTTTCATGCTGGCTCTCCACTTATCTCATTGAGACTACATCTTGGTCAAGCACACTACCATTTCAGAACATCAACTCTGCCTTTTGTTCTTACCCAGAGAGCTAAACTGCTTCATTAAATTTTGCTTAACTCCCTGCTGGATCATGTGACCACAGAGAGGTCTCTCTTTACAACACTATCTGAAAGTATATCCCTGGATCTTAGCTTCTCCTCTGAAGGAAAATTAATTGGGGGTTTTTTGTTTGTTTTTATTTGGCTTTTGCTGAGAGGGAGGATTGTTTGTTTTTGTTTGTTTGGTTTTTTGGCTATTAGTACATGGTGCCAGTACATAGGACTCCATAACGTCTACTGGATGACTAAGTCCACTGTCTGTCACCAGATCTCATGAAATCCACCAATTCAAGGGACTGTGCCATCAGCCCCAGACAGATCTAAGGGACACCCGAGATTATTCATAAGAGTAGGGTGACCACACTAAATTCAGAAAGTGGCCCAGTCATCCAGTAATCTAACAATCAAGTAGGAAACTACGCATTGAAGGTGACACTGTAAAGAAACTGGACCAAGGGCATCTCACAGACCTCAAGCTTAGCTTTTAAGCACACAGCAATTAAAGGATCAGCCTCATCTACCTAGCCCAGATTCATCTAGCATAAAAAAAATAAAGATGAAACTTCAATTCCCATCAAAAGGTAACTGATCATGATTTTTTTTCATAGTCTTATTCTATTATATACATTCTGCAACAAATACACATTAAATCAAGTTTCCTCCTGGGAGGTTATCATTGAAGAGTGATAATCCACTTCAACCATGATTTTGAATATTAATTTATTGCTACTTTTAAGGATTAATAAACTTTATCTATAATCAGATGTTCCCAAACAATTATGTTTTTACCCTACATATCTAATCAAAATATTTGACTTAGAAAGTCATACATGGTTTTCTTTTAAAACTCAAAACTTGAGTGTATTGTCATGGTTTTAGTGCTCTTTTTAGATAGATCAAACTTTTATTTTGAGAATTCAATTCACACCAGTCTTCCTTGTTGGTAGCTCATGACATGCTGCTAAGATAAAACTGAAATAACAAGTGGTCCTCTTTCCAGTTGATAAATGCATCCTGGCTTACCCCTAGGGATGTGCAATTCGTGCTTGGTCTTTTCACACCACCCCACTGGATGAATGTCAGGGGAACCAGCATTGGTCCAAAAATCATAGCAACTTAAATAACCATCAAAATGCAATCTCAGCCGGTAACCACACACCTGAAACATGGAAATTGAAATCATCCATTAAAGGTCATATATTTGAAATGGGCACAAAATTGACAAAATATTCAAATGTTTTGACAATGCCATCAGTATGAGTTAACCCATCAATACAAACATTTTCACTGGAAGACTAATTTATACCTGATGTGGTATCTGGTTAAAACAAAATGGTGATGAAGAGGGATATACAACTTTCTGCAAAAAAATATGTCCTTCAGCCCAATCTAGAAATTTGAGGTCAATTTATATATTTTAATTGATTAGCTTATTAATTTAGTACCTACCAAATCTTCCTTTCAGAAAAATCTATCTCCTACTTCCTGGATTAGATTCCTACTTCAAGACAGTGGAAGCTGAGGTGCTGAGCAAAATCAAGGTAAGTGTGACCTGGTTTTAAGTTTAACATATGGAGACAGCAAGTTCAACAAAGAAAATAATAAAAATCTGAGCAAAATATCCTCTAGGCATGCTATACAACTCTAATCTTCACAATTATCACATAAAGCAAATGAATGTGACTTCTGAGTTAAAGGCTTTTATAAATTTAGACTTTTTTTATATATTTAGGAAACATTACATTTCAGAATCCATTTACTTTAAT